AATAGCTTTATAAACAAGCACCTTGGTATCCCTACGGATGTCCCGGTCCTCAAACACTCTGTGCTTCATTCGAGAAAATGCTGCACTCGCAGAGCTCAGGCGGTGTTGTATTTCAGTGTCAATGTTGACTTTTGTGGAGAGATGGCTGCCAAAGTAGCAGAAATGGTCAACATTTTCTAATGTTACACCATTAAGCTGTATTTCTGGCACTTACTTGACTCCCGTCAGATCCTCTGAAGATGCCAGTAGCCCCAGATGCAGGTGAAACGAACAAAGGAGAAAATGCTGATAAACACATCGACCTTATAGCCTGGAAACCACACAACACGCCAGCAAATGAAACTGACCAGTACCAAAGATGCTATGCTCAACCTTTTGGTGTTTTGGTTGCGATCGGCTAACAGGCAGCTATTCTGCTACAAGGATAGGGGAGTCAGAGGTGGAGAGGACTTACCGTTGGTAAGTTCTGGGTGACATTACGACTGGACTCCATGCAGAAGATGACCGGGAAGGCATAGGACACATCCTGGAAGTAGTCAATGAGGCAGGTCTATGGGGCAGACAAAGAGCATGGATTAGCCAAGCATGGAGTACAGTCATTCCACTGTCATGACACCCTGTAAAGCCACTTGTTATATTTGCACAAAATAGGATCAATACATGAAAGGCTCTTAATGCTTACAATGTAGATGTCTTCAGGTCAGTCAAGAGCAGACTTTTGGATCTTGACTTCCATAACAATCTGACTCTTGCAGCAAAGACAACTTGTTCCCCTACCACATCATTAATTCACTAAGAGCAGACTTTTGGATCTTGACTTCCACGATAATTTGACCTGCAGCAAAGACAGCTTGTTCCCCTACCACGTCATTCACTCCATAAGAGCAGACTTTTGGATCTAGACTTCCATAACAATTTGACTGTTGCAGCAAAGACAGCTTGTTCCCCTACCACGTCATTCAATCCATAAGAGCAGACGTTTGAATCTTGACGTCCATAACAATCTGACACTTGCAGCCAAGATAGCTTGTTCCCCTACCACATCATTCAATTCACAGGAGCAGAATATTGGATCTTGACTTCCTTAACAATCTGACACTTGCAGCAAGGACAGCTTGTTCCCCTACCACATCATTCAATCAATAAGAGCAGACGTTTGGATCTTGACTTCCATAATAATAATAATAATAATAATAATAATAATAATAATAATACTTTATTTGTATACCGCTCTATCTCCCCGAGGGGACTCAGAGCGGTTCCCAGGTAACATCCCAAAACATACAAAGTAAAAACAACATAACCATAAGAGTAACAAAACAAAATATAAGCATAAAAATTGTCGCCATAATACACATATATTAAATGTAATCCTGCCCGTTCAAGGCAATTAAAAAATTTAAAAGGCCGGGCCAAGATTTGCGCAAGCCCAAAAATTCTAGGGGCCCCGGGAATTAAGTGCAATGCTATGGCAGGCAACAATAATATTAGGTACGGGTCTGTGGCTGTTCATTCTGCGGCCGATTAGAGGAAAGAATCTGGGTAATTGGTAGGAAGAATAAGGCCATATTTGACAATGTGTAGGGCTGAGTTAGAACTGGTCGTTTTCAAAGGCTTGTTGAAACCACCAGGTCTTCAAGCTCTTACGAAAGGAGGGGAGGGATGGGGCCTGTCTTATTTCCCTTGGAAGGGCTTTCCAGAGGCAGGGGGCCACCACCGAGGAGGCCCTCTCGTCCTCACCAACCGTGCTTGAGATGATAGTGGGACCGAGAGGAGGGCCTCCCCGGAAGATCTTAGAGCTTGTGCCGGTTCATAGAAGGAGATGCGATAGGCAGGGCCCGAACCGTCATAAAAATCTGACTCTTAAAGCAAATACAGCTTGTTCCCCTACCACGTCATTCAATTCATAGAAGCAGAATTTTGGATCTTGACTTACTTCTCAATCTGACACTTGCAGCAAAGACAGCTTGTTCCCCTACCACATCATTCAATCCATAAGAGAAGACATTTGGATCTTGATTTCCATAAAAATCTGACTCTTAAAGCAAATACAGCTTGTTCCCCTACCACGCCATTATTCCATAAGAGCAGACTTTTGGATCTTGGCTTCCATAATAACATGACTTTTCACTCTGTGCGCGTGTGGAGTCATGGCAGTTTATTTTCACTTATTTTGATTTATATCACCAAGAGGTAATCTTTGGTGACTGCAAGATGCAACGTGTTGCCATCATCCACTCTTTTGGATGGGAGATATAAAAACGTGGTACATTCTTGTGACTCGGTTTCTGTTGAAACACTTTGTTTGTATGCCTTCAATGGCAAGGGTGTTATAAAATCTCATACCTTCTGAACAACTCTATTGCATTCTTTTGTGAAACTGTTGCAAATGTTATTCTTGAGATGAGCAACTCTTAATGATGCTTTCCTTTTTATCTGTGACTTCTTCTTGTTGTATAGGCCTGTGTTGTGATTTTGTTGTTGTATGCCTATAATAAAG